GACGTGCTGATCAAAGCCCGCGCGAACATGTAAGAGGCTCAAATCCACATGCAGCAGCAAGCTAACCGACGTCGACTCCCATGTCCTTTCCACGAGGGGGACCTTGTTTGGGTCCTCGCTAAGGAATTCGCGCTGGAGGAAGACGTCTCGCACAAACTCCTCCCGAAATGGTTTGGACCATGGAAGGTAATTTCTGCAGCAGGCGACGACCCTGCTGGCCCTTCCTTTGTGATTGCCATCCCCCCACACCTCCGCGTGCACCCGGTTTTCCACGCGTCAAAGCTGGCCGTGTATACGCCACCTTCCGAGGACGAGTTCCCGGGCCGACGATCACAGGATCCGCCCTCTATGGATGGACATCAGGAAGTTGACCGTGTCATCACGCATCGCAAGTATGGCAACAAGCCAATGCAATATCAAGTCACATTCAAACAATGTGCCCCTGATGACACGCGCTGGATCTCCCGCACAGACTTACAGGCATCCGCACCACTCATCTTCTCCGACTATGAGAACCGGCGACTTGCCAAGGACAAAGTTCGTCCCACCCGACCCACCCAGGTATCGGACAGACAACTTCGCCCTCACAGGTAGCTCGGTCTTTTAAGGGGGGGAGTGTGTTACATACTGATGCCACACGGGTCCCTTTTGGACCCAACCACTAGACCAAGGGGTACTTAGGCCGGCCCAGCCAAAGGCCGGACCTTTCTCCCGGTAGGCCGGATGAGGCCACCGGATGGTTTTCCTGCAGCAGACCAGGTATAGGCCCAAACGGCATTACCATTGGGCCTGGCAGCGCTCTTGAGACTGCCGCCCGCCGGTCTGATCTGAATCGTCAATCTTGACGATTCAGATCACGGCGCGCTGGGGCAGCATTGAGGCCGACCGGCCGCCGGACGGTACTTAGGCCGGTCCAGCGGCCTTTCCAGCAGGTTGGAAGGCAGTACAGCAAGAGGCACCAAGCTGCGCTATTCCTGGTTCAGCGCAGTGGTTGGAGCTGCAGCGCTAAGCTTAGCGCACTGCAGCAAAGGGACGCGAGGAGGGAGACTAACCTAGAGAAACGTGAGCGCCATAGCTCCCAGCGGCTCAGCCCAGCTCCTGCATCAGCCAAGGCGCCATCTTGCAGACGCAGGTTAGGCCTGAGGCTCCTCGCCATCTCCCCCGACTATCTGCCTCCCCTATCAGTCTTCTTCTTCCTCAGACTTCATCTTCTTCCTCTTCTTCAGACTTCAGACTTCTTCTTCTTCTTCTTCTTCTTCTTCTTCTTCTTCTTCTTCTTCTTCTTCTTCTTCTTCTTCTTCTTCTTCTTCTTCTTCTTCAGACTGGAGACTATTGATACGAGTTGGACAGAGAGCAGTGGTTGGACTTCGGTGGTAGGAGGCTGTGATACTTACCGGATCCGAGACATTGGAGATAGTTGGGAGTGATACCTGGCGGCATCACGGATCGGGCATCGGTTGCATTAGGATTCTGTACCTCCGACATTGGTGACTTATGTCTACGACATTCTGATTTTGTTCGGTGACATTTTGGGCTACCATATTGACGACTTTCTGGATTCTATCTCGGTGACATCTGGCGCTGCCCATATCTCCCACGTCCATCGTCTCTCCTCCCACCATTCATCTGTGTATGGTTGTACGGGGCCTGAAGCATCGTCTATGTATGGCTTCAGACCCCACCATCTCACGATTGCTTGTGTGTTGAGTGATGTTGGGGTAAGTCCAGTCAACGTGAGTCAGTCCATTTCTCAGACTTCCGCTGTATACATGCTCGTCCTATATTGGTTGATCTTTGGTTCTGCCCGTACTTGGTGAAGTATTCACTAGTATGCAACACCTGATTACCTGATGGAGCCCCCGGTTGAAGATCATTTCTCTCCGGAGCACATACCGGAGCCGATTGGTCAAGACCACAATGAGTCTCCGCCACCTGTGCAACCTGCAGAATCGAACGAGGATCCCCTGGCTGTAAACGGATCCCCCACGCAACCTGCGGAATCAGACAATGTCATAGCACTACAGCGAGGGCGCTGTGCGTACTATGCCATTAATGTATTTCTCCTTGCTTACAATTGTAATCCTTATACTGTTGGTAATTTCGCAGACGACAGCGCTGCGCCTGGGGTGAAACTAGAAGTCCTGGCTATGGCATTTATGGGTAGGCGACTGCAATTCCAGCCTGCTCCGCAAAACCACGTGCCAGGCACGGATCCGAATATTCGTCCAGGTCACTTCAGTGCTCTTACCTTTGCAGATAATTCATGGACCCTATGGGACAATGGCGATAGGGTGCACACAGTGGGAAATATTAACGCTCTCTATCACCAAATGCTGGAGGGTCACTCAGTCTGGCTCGTCCATCAGGAACAGTATGTCAACGAGCATTTGCAAGCACTGCAACCCCCGGAGAGCAATCCGGCTGATTCTACCACAAACAGTGAAAGGACCTCTCCACAGGATGATCGCTGTGCCCTCCCGTTGTGTCGTCGCACAGGTGTAGTTCGGTTGGCATGTACACGACATAGCCTCTGCTCCGAACACTATGAAGGGATGGTCGCTGCTAGCCTCTCACACGAAAATTGTGATCCCCTGTCCTGTGCTCATCCCCTCCTACCCCCTGATTACTTGCCCAGCATGCCGTTGTGGCCTTGATCTGCCATGCTTAAATAACTGTGCACGTCAGCCTTCCATACTAATGACATGTCAGCAACATGCCATGTGCCGTCAATGCTTCCAGAAAACTGTCATAGAAAGTATGCGTCTTTACTGCGTGGACTATCCCCAGTGCCATCACCCTCTACATCCTCTCCTAGCATGTCCCACATGAGGTGTTGGTCATACACCTACGGCAACTGCTGACGGATCTCCCTCTTGCTTGCCGGACAAACGACGGACACAGCAGTCCGAGGAGGAAAAGAGACTTCTATATGAACCACCGGCAGAGCGATGTGCTCATAGTTTATCACCACCAGGGCGAGCTGTTGCGGATCATATCCTGCAGCAGCTGAACGCCCTTGCGTTGGACCGATCGTCCCTGTCGTCATCTGCCCATAGAGAAGGACTATATTCTGAGGAAGCCCAAGAAAGTTGCTCCATGCCGCTTTGTGATGACCTGCCGGAGATCCAACTAGCACGTGGTTCGCATGCCTTGTGCCGTGAGGATTATGAAGGGATAGTCCATGCGAGTTTTTGCTTCCATACGTACGATGACAGTCAGTACTGTACTCATGTACGGCACCCTGGCATGTCATGTCCAATTTGCAGACAGGGGCTGGAACGACAATGCCTCTATAATTGCGGTCTATGTGCCTCTGTGTTCCTAGCATGTACGAGCCACGTAGCCTGTGACATCTGTCTGCGCCGTGCCATTCGACACAGCAACTGTGACTGCGAAAATTGGATGCGGTGCTTCCATAGCCCACACCCGGACCGGTCCTGTCCAGTTTGTAGGGGTGGCCACTCGCCATAGTTTTTATACACCTCTCCCCTGCTCTTTGCATGTCATACTCTATCCTGCCCTCCACATATTTCTTTCCTTTCCGTTTCCCCTACCTTCCCTACCCCATACTNAAGCTCGTCATACACCTCTCCCCTGCTCTTTGCATGTCATACTCTATCCTGCCCTCCACATATTTCTTTCCTTTCCGTTTCCCCTACCTTCCCTATCCCATACTCCTATAGAACTCCGCCTTCTATCCCTTACCGTCCACCCTCCCCTCCACTCCCTTTGTGCTACTAACAAATACATACGAATGAGCATCATTAAGAGAACAGACGATATGAAGATCAGAAATGAAATGAACGGAAGTATGAAGATGAAGGATGGACACAAAGACTGTATAAGCTGAAGATCTGAAGTGAAATGAACAGAGTACGAAGCTCTGAAGAGAAATGCACAGGAGCATACCTTCCCTTTTACTCTGCCTCCTGAAGTAACGTGCAAGTGGGCCGTGAAGGCACACGGGGATGAGGGCAGCTGCCGCTCAACCACAATCAACGTGGGCAGCCTTGTGCGTAAGAGGCACAGTAAAAGGGGAGCTGCAAGAACAATGAAAGGGGTACCCCAAGGACAACCAAAAAACTGTCTAATTATAAAATTGCTTCAATATGTTGGACATCTCAAATGTTCTCGTTGTCTGCAATAGGACAAAGACTGATTTGATTCTGAATCTATTCATCTGGGTGGAATTGGGGCTGTTGTGGGGAAAATCGAAAACACACACACAGCTCAAGTGTGTTGCAACTTCTCAAGTGTGTTGCATGGCTTGTGTAAAGGTGAGATTCCTTGCTTGTTTGAAGGTAAGGTTCTGAATAGATATTGACTTCACAAGCACAACTGTTTCATTGGTGGATTGGCTCATCTTGAGAATGCTTCATTGTCTGCAATATAGGAAAAGTTGCTATGACTTTGGATCTACTCATCTGGGTGGAATAGGGGAAGTTGTGGTGATATTTTATAACACACACACAGGTGCCTTCTTGCTGGAGTAGTCTTCTGTCTTAGGTATATTGCCTTCTGCCCTCCATCCCCTTATGGTTTGAAATATATATGCATACATATCTCTATGTGCAAGCGTGCCGCTTTGGCGGCAGACAGGTGTGTGGGCACTTGGCGCTGAACCACACAAACGTGGCCAACCTTGCATTTTCTATTATATTGCCTATCTATACTTTGCTGTTATGGATGGCTTGTGATGATTTGTGAAGGGAATGAGAGAGAGAATCTGGGGTCTTTTAAAACAACACACACACACACACACACACACACACGCACACACACACACACACACACACACACACACACACACACACACACACACACACACACACACACGTGCGCGCGCTTGGCAGATTTGAGCGGCCAGGATCGGGCGCGTACTAGCGAGCTATTCTTTTGTGTGGTCAGATAATTTGTTGGTTGCTCTTTATTCATACATGGCCTAATTCTTTGCCCTTCTGTTTTGCGCTTCGGTTTCTGTATGTATGGTTAATCAACAGGCAGCAGACTGGTGTTTCAATCGGCATCGGACTATGCTCAGCGATTTGTTCTCTGAGTACCCAGATTACAATTTGACACTTGTTGGGCATTCCCTGGGAGCAGGAATTGTGTCATGCCTGACACTTTTGATGATCAGGCACCGAAAAGAGATGGGAATCAACAATGCATCACAAATCAAGGGATATGCTGTGGCACCACCACGTGTAGTGTCGCTAAATCTTGCCGTGCAATATGCTGACAATATCTGGAGTGTTATATACCAGGTGAGAGAGTGCAATTTATCCGACAGGAAAAATGAGGAAAAAGAAACCAACCAACGGGCCTAGCTCAGTTGGTACACCCAAAGTTGAAGTACAGACCCATGTTCAAATCCAGATAGCAGCCAGGTGATTTGAATAAAATAATTCTTAATTAGATGGGGCTGGTCTGCTCATGATGATATCTCAAGGCCGTACTGGAAAAAAACGAGAAAAAACTTCAAAAAAGAGAAAAGGTAAACCAATTGTGTGATACATGTGCAACCCCAGTTACCAGACCGGATAAGATTTCCAAAAGTTTCAATTGTGAAACCAGTTTATCTACGACACGAATGAATGCACGTGCAATTAAAGTTTATCAAAGATGGAAAAGATTGCAGCAATTGAAGTTTGCGTAGTTTATCGGACTCGTGAAAAATTATACATTGCCCTTGCTTCATGGTTACAATCCGGATGTCTGGATTGCAGTGGGATGGTCTGGGTCCGGTGTCTGGTCCGGACCAACTTTTTAAAAAATCTAAAAAACTTGAGAAAAAGATATGTTATGCTGTTTATGCAGCGTTGCAATACAATTTTATTTCGTCTCAAAATTCGTAGCCAAATCCAAGGAAAAAAGGGGAATTAAAAAAAAAAATGCTATTTATTTATTTATTAAGGGGGGTGTTTCAGCCCGGAAGGTCCAGGCAGTCCAGACAGAGGTCCTGCCGGATGTCCAGATTGGTCCGTTGTCCAGGTCCTGTGTAACCATGCTTTCCTGTGAATGGAGGTGGTTCTTGTCTGATTGTGCATATGAAATGCATTTGCAGCAAATGCAAGGATCTTTGTCGTCGGCAGGCTCATAATAGCGAGCCCTGCAAGCATTTGCCCGCCCTCTCTTAGGCCGGACTTGCATTTCGATGTGCGGCCTATTTTGGTCTGCTCATGGGCGCCAGACAGTTACCAGGCACAGGGAGAGCTTATGGAGCGCACATTGGTTGAGTGTTGTTTTTCCCACGTCCTCTGCTCCTGGAGGCATGCTTTTTGACTTTGAGAGCTATAATCCTCGGCTTCCTAGGGGCTCGAGATACAAGCGAGCTTGGTGGATAGCTGGCAGCTTCCACAGGCAGATGTGGCGGGCCAGTCGGAGGGGCAGGGACCAGCTCCTTATCTGGGAGATGGATACAGTCACCTGGTTGGCTCTGAGTTCGCCATCCAAGCGTTCTGGCGAAACCTTGGCAGAGACAGGTTCCTCGACCATTCTTATGACTACTTTCATGGGTATGGGCGTTTAAAGGTCATGACAAAAGCAACTGGTGATATCTCTCTGGCCGAGGAGTTATACCTGCATTCAGACTCGTCTCGATTTCATGCCCAACATGCATACATGCAGATGCTGATGGCAAAACAACTTCCTCAAAGGAGAATCAGCAATAAGCTTGAGATTGCGCAGTGCGTCCCACACAGAGAACTCAGGGATATGGCCTTCGGCCAGGAACTCGGCTCAAGACAACTTGTCACATCTTGCGGCTGTGGCGTCTGAACGCCAGTCTGAAATTCCCACCCGAACACTGTATCCACCGTCAGACACACTTACACGCACGTACGCACACAATACTTGGATCTACCCTGAATGTCTGCATTCACACACATTATCTTCTCTCTTCTATCTTCTTCACACTGGCGGATATGGCCGCCGTCGTCTTCCTCCTCCTAGCAGCTATGGCTGCTTGCCGTCTTCAACCGGGCTCTCCTGCTGACCACCTGTGACTCAACGGACAAGTCACTTAAGCAGCGCTTCCACGTAGTTTGTCTCAGAATGAGTCCATGACTGATCTCTGCCCCTTTATTTGCTTGGTGGTCTGGTCCTGCCCAAAGTTCCAGGCCCTCAAGATGTGCAGTCCCACTCTGGTACTTGCTGCAAAACGGACTGGACTGGGATTGACTTTTCATGTGCCCCTTCGGGATTGACTTGGGACTCTTGACCTTCAGAGATTTGACAGGCTGCCTCTACTGACTTCGAGAGGTCAAGTTGACTATTCGAGACCTAATCTAGCCACAACCTACTGACCTTTCAGAGGATGTATGGCCAGTTGACCTTTCGAAAGGTCAAGTGTAAACTTGCCTTTTCGGGACACCTACAGACGACCCTAAGACTTCTAAACAATAGACCTACGGATCAAATACACACTGCCCGGGCTTCATACACAAGGCATTTATACACGGGTTTGGGGACAGGTCGTGGGTTCAAGGCACATGGGGTCAACGAACAACACAAACATACTGTACACTCGGTTGGGGAAAGTTTGGGGATCAAGCCCCGGTATCTGCAATTGTTGCACGAACTGGGTGAAACTCTTTCACTCCCACTGTCCTAAATTTGGGGTCCTCCGAGAACCCTTTAATCCAAGGCAGGACCTTTTCCTTTTCTCGCTCTCTCATAAGCACGGACTACTTCGGGAGCAGATTCTAGAAGTTTTGTCCTGGTGAACCATTTGTCGTCCTCAAGTTCCTGGTAAGCAAACCTGACTTTGTATTGCTTCTGGGGACGACCTCTACCTCTGGTTCGGAATACATCTTCTTCTAATATTCGGTCTATGTCATATGTGCCATCTATATCTGGCGAAATCATGGATCTCCGCGAAGGAAGTTGGTCGCTGGTGACACAAGGCAACAACTTTGATGCATGAAAGACCGGATACGTGTGGAGGTGAGACGGAATCTCTATGGTATATGATGGTCCCTCCTCTCCACCTTTAACTTGTAGGACAGGCCATGACCCTCTATATGTGGGCAAAAACTTATGTGAGATGTTTTCTTCTGGTGCGAATTCCTTTGACTTGAGCCAGACTAAATTGCCTACCGTGAATTGCGATGGTCTGCAATGCTTATTCGCTTGCTCAATCATGCGATGCTGGGCTTTTCTAAGGTTTTCGATCACCGTTTTAACTTCCTTCTCGTGCTGCAGAGCGAACTCTCTTGTACCGGGAGGTAAGCTTTGAATCTGGTCCCGGCTCAGTCCTTCAAACGACCTACGTGGCCTAAAGGACTTATGCAGCTTATTAGGAGTTCTGGATGTAGCTAGGTGTACGCTGTTATTGTAGGCACAAGGTATTTTAGGGAGCATCTCATCCCAATTCACTTGATCGGGTCTCATATACATTATGAGTAATTGCTGCAAGATCTTCCCTACTCTTATAGAAATCGCTATTTGGCGCGCAACATTTGGCCGATCCGGGCCCCCCACAGCCTACCGGCCGACGGCCCGGATTTCCGCGCGATCTTAAGACCTTAAGACTTTAAGACTAAGATTGCGCGGTGATCCAGACCGCCCGCTTTGCCGGATGGCCTGGATTGATGCGCGGTCTTAAAGTCCTTAAGATCGCGCGAAAATCCAGGCCATTAGCCCGGTAGGGCCGTGGGTGGCCCGGATCGGCATGCCCATTGAGAAGAGGTCCTGTTGCGGGGCGGCGCCATGGCCCTCTTCGCGTTGAACGGCCCGTTGGGTTGAGGGCTGTCCGACTTCCTGCAACTGCCGTACGCGACAAACTACTACCGTACGCGACAAACTACTGCCCTATGCGACAAACTGCCCTACGTACGGCGTTCTTGGTATTGTGCCCTACGGTCTTGCCTACGCGACCTACTGACTTGCCTACGCCCACCTAGGCGACCTACCTACAGCCTACACGATCCATGCAACCTGCCTACGGCCTGCCTACC